AAAAGAGAGAGATAGTTATCCCTTTCGGATTAATAGTACTAACTCCCATGAGTTAATTTCCTGCAAACAAACAGAGCTGTAGAGAGAACCAAGGCTATGCGTCACCCGGAGATGAAATTGCCATGCAATTGCGGGCTGATGTCATAGACATTCAACAATCCTTGCGTGTCCTTAAGACCATTGTGTATGTGCTCTGCATTGTGGTTGTCATTTTGTTGTGCCGTATGTAAGCATCGTTACCATGTTCTTACTATGTACCAAGACGTTAGTATGTTGTCAGTATGTTGTTACTATGTACGAAGACGTTAGTATGTTGTCAGTATGTTGTTACTATGTACGAAGACGTTAGTATGTTGTCAGTATGTTGTTACTATGTACGAAGACGTTAGTATGTTGTCAGTATGTTGTTACTATGTACGAAGACGTTAGTATGTTGTCAGTATGTTGTTACTATGTACGAAGACGTTAGTATGTTGTCAGTATGTTGTTACTATGTACGAAGACGTTAGTATGTTGTCAGTATGTTGTTACTATGTACGAAGACGTTAGTATGTTGTCAGTATGTTGTTACTATGTACGAAGACGTTAGTATGTTGTCAGTATGTTGTTACTATGTACGAAGACGTTAGTATGTTGTCAGTATGTTGTTACTATGTACGAAGACGTTAGTATGTTGTCAGTATGTTGTTACTATGTACGAAGACGTTAGTATGTTGTCAGTATGTTGTTACTATGTACGAAGACGTTAGTATGTTGTCAGTATGTTGTTACTATGTACGAAGACGTTAGTATGTTGTCAGTATGTTGTTACTATGTACGAAGACGTTAGTATGTTGTCAGTATGTTGTTACTATGTACGAAGACGTTAGTATGTTGTCAGTATGTTGTTACTATGTACGAAGACGTTAGTATGTTGTCAGTATGTTGTTACTATGTACGAAGACGTTAGTATGTTGTCAGTATGTTGTTACTATGTACGAAGACGTTAGTATGTTGTCAGTATGTTGTTACTATGTACGAAGACGTTAGTATGTTGTCAGTATGTTGTTACTATGTACGAAGACGTTAGTATGTTGTCAGTATGTTGTTACTATGTACGAAGACGTTAGTATGTTGTCAGTATGTTGTTACTATGTACGAAGACGTTAGTATGTTGTCAGTATGTTGTTAGTATGTAGTTAGTACGTTCGTAGTATGTTGGTAGTATGTTGTCGCATATGGGAGCCGTAATACTAACTATCATATTTTTGTCCACTACTAACTTCCATGGAACCTGTTTACGTACGTTAGTAATTTTCAATGGGTATATGCAAATTTAACTTTAGCATCATATATGTCTGTTTGTTGTTAATAATGTGTCATGGCTTATGCGTGTGTATGTAACAACCAAATTTGTGATGGTAATCTTTTGTAACCGTACATTAGTAATGGCTTCCACACGTACTTCGCTGCGTAACCACTCGAAAAGCAAAGGCATTGTCAGTGACAAGTCAAGCAGCCTTGAAGAGACACAAAATCAGTTAAGCCACAAGGCCTCATGGGACAGTAACTCAGTCCGAGTTTTCCTCCAGTTGATCGCAAATGAGATTAGTAAAGGTAATCGCCCATTCTTAGTCCTCAGCCAGGCAGGGTACAAGTCGTTGTCAAGGAAATTTGAGAGAAAAACAGGAAAAAAACATGGACTGAAACAGTTGAAGAATAAGTACATGAGCTTGAAAAAAGAGTGGCAGGCGTGGACAAAGTTGATGGATTCAAGTAAGGGACTGTCCGGGATAGGCTTTGACTATGACACCGGTTTGTTTCAGGCACCTAACGAGTGGTGGGACAAGATGGAATCAGTAAGTACATGTACAAACAAGTTTCATATCTGTCATTTACAAGTACATTTTTTAGTTCTTCATTTAACTGCAATACAATTTATTTATATGAAATATAACGTCTGCCTTTTTTATACATCTACATTTCTGCAGATCAACAAGGTGTGTGCGAAGTTCAGGAAAAAAACTTTGGAACACCGTGACTTGATGGAGACGGTTTTCATGGGGGCATCAGCTACTGGGAAGCACCATTGGACCCCGGGAGAGATCCTCCCTGAAGCTGATGAGGCCTCATCTGATTCAGTGCGTAGTTTGGGAGCGCAGCCATTTGCTGATCCGATACCCGCAGGAGTACAGGGCGTGGATTCCGATTCTTCACTCGAGCATGTTCCGATTGAAAAGCCAAAAAGGAGAAAGACGCCATCAACAAGTGTTTCAAAGTCGAAGAAGGCAACAAGTGGTGCGTCCGTTATTGCGGAAAGCATGGACAGAATGACAGATGTGGTTCGTTCGAAGAATCAGCAGGTCACGGTTAGGCACCTCACAGGCAACGAATCGCTGTACACTATTTTCGAGTGCATGCATAAGCTGAGCAGTATTCCATCCATGATTTGTACGCCATTATTCCACTTCGCCTCCACACTTATGGATAACGCCGATTACCGGGAGATCATGATGTGCCAGCCTGATGACGACCACATCATTGGTTGGCTTACACAGAAACAGCTCCAGTGTACTGCGTCGGGGCCTTTTGCAAACCTGTTTGGGGGTCGCCGGATGTGATGTAGCGGTGTTACGAGTGTTTAAGATACATCTCCTTGTCTTCCTTTTTAAAATGTTGACTTATGGTATTGTTGGCAATGTACTAAAACAGGATGGTGCTGTGTGAATGTTTTCATTATGTCGTTTTTGTTTTTTTCTTGCTAGCTACGGGCAACAACAGGTTTTAGGTAAGTGTATGGGTTGACGGACCAGAAGCATGGTTGTGCTTCGTTTTTGGGAAATGAATGGGATATTTGTGTTTTAATATTTTGTGTGCCTACGTTTGAGACAGGGAATTACGTTTTACTTGCACGCTTGTGAATGCCTATATGTCTGAAGTTCATTTGTTAGTGTAGTTTGCTGGCTACTTTTGTGGTTGTTACCACCATGACCCCCCTGTAAAGCATAAGTTGAACATCTTGATTTTTTGTGCAATTCATATGAGCATGCGTTCCATATGACATTTGTGACAGCATTGCTTTTAATAAAAGACATTCTCGGAATTTTTTAATTACAAACTTCAATATAATTTAAGTCAGTGATTCACGTGCCAACTGAATGAAAGGCTGCCCCTTTTGTAGGTTTCGCATGAACGAAGACACGATGAATCCCTGGGATGGAAGCAACCATGATGACATAACGGAAATGCTTAATCAAATGGCGGTCCAGGTGCAACAAGAACAAAATTGCACATTTGTACAAGCATGTCAGTGGGCGACAGAATGGTACGAAAAACACATGAATAAAACGCCGTGTCGCACTTCTATACTAACCGGGAATGCATGGATATGCGAACTATATGCGAGGCATATGGGTCGATTTGAGGAAAATGTTTGCATGCCGAAGGAAGTTTTTGCCGCATTGTGTGAGACATTAGTAAATGATTTTGGGTTACAAGTCCCGCAACGTCCACATGGCTTAGCTGTTGAAGAAAGCGTTGCGATGTTTATCCATGTGTTGAAAGGGAAGCAAAATCAGGAAATCCAAGAACGGTTCTAACATTCCGGGGAGACTGTGTCAAGGCATGTGCATAACGTATTAACTTCCATGAAAGAGTTCACTGTTGTTCATTGCCGGCCCACATACAGTCAGCATCGTATACATCCATACGTGCGGTCTAGACGAAAATACCTACCGTTCAAGGTACTTCTAGACGGAAATACCTGATTGACATATAAACCAAGAAAATATATTTTGTTTGTGTTATTAACTGCACTTGACGCTTGGCAAGAAGGAAACACTTGTTATTAACAATTTATCCATGTTTGCAGGACTGCATTGGCGCAATAGACGGAACACATGTCAGTGCATGGGTTACGGGGCCAGATGCGGCAACATATTTCGGTAGGAAATACTGTCACACGCAAAATATAATGGCCGCTGTCGATTTTGACATGTGTTTCATATTCATTTCTTGCGGATGGGAAGGAAGTATGCATGATAGTCGCATATTCAACGAGATACTAACAAATGACAACGTCCCCTTCCCACATCCTGACGAAGGTAACACATGGCCATGTTATTAGATTTGTTAACAAATACTTATTTCCTGACAAAGCGTTATATGAAAATGACGCAGAATGTTGGTTTTGGTGTCATACATTGTCGTCATGTCTGCAGGCAAATATTATCTTGTCGATTCTGGCTATGCAAACCGGATTGGTTACTTAGCACCATTCAAAGGCCACCGTTACCACCAACAAGAATTCCGGCGTATTGCACGGAACGCGATGGCAAACACGCCAAGGGAATTATTTAACAAAGTGCACTCGTCCTTACGCAGTGTGGTGGAACGCACTTTCGGTGCCTGGAAAAATCGATGGGGGTTTATTCGAGACATGCCTCTGTATGACTTTGCAAATGTGCAAGTTCAGTTAGTAGGTGCGTCAATGGCATTACATAATTATATACGGCGAAACACAGGTAACCCAACAACTGTTCAGCCAATCTGTGACGAGGAAGAGGCTATGACAATAGTAACTGCCATACCAGAAGTTGAACATGACGAGGATGGTTTAATGGTTGGAGATGAGGACCCCCATATGGCATTGGTCCGCCTTCACATACGTGACAAATTATGTTACATGCGTAATAACGGAATGTTAGGAAATATATAGTAGTCGAAATAATTTTCGTATGGTTGTCACATAATGACACACGTGAAACAGACTGTATTCAAATATATTATCATGTACAATATGTATGAGTTTCCACGGGAATGTAACCCCTTCCAGTTGCTGACGTGCCTAACTTTGAAAAACAACAATCCATACGAATTTTGCTTTTGGAAAAACAAAAAAAGGTGAAACAAATAAAAACAAATGAAAAAGAAAACTAATACACAAATTGTCATGGGCGACATAAATTACAAATAAATGAAACACATAAATATATTAAAAAAAAGTTATTGTATACCAATTAAAAAAAACAAGACATAGTTAAAAATAAAAATCCAAGACAAAAAAAAAACATAGTTAAAAAAAAACGTAGTTATAGTAAAAAAACAAAAAAATTCAAAAGACAGAAACATAAATTCCCAAATAAAAATCAAAAAATTTAAGCAGAAAACCCCATATCCAAACCCAAAATGCAAAAAAGTAACAGGATAAAAAATTAAGCATAATATGAAAAATCCAAGCGCAAAATAAAAAAAATTTGAAACAAAAAAAAAAGTTAACGCAAAATCCGCCAAACTCAAAAAAAAAATACAAAATTTGGATTTGCAAAATTCGGGAGATTGAAACACAACATACAAAAAATTGACAACAAAAAAACAAAACGCAAAAAAAGCAAAATCGAAACCCAATTCGGGAGATCGAAACACAACATAAAAAAATTGTCAACGAAAAAACATAAAGCAAAAAATGCCAAAGCGAAGCCCCCCCTCAAAAAAAAAACAAAAAAAAGGCAAAATCGAAACCCCAACATAAAAAAATTAAAATAAAAAAGAAGAACCAAAATATGGCAAATTCAAACCAAAAATAAAAAAAATAAAAAATAAACAAATTAAGCAAAAGTCGGCAGATCGACACCCAATATAAAAAAAAAGAAAAGAAAATAAACACAAAAAAAAAAAGCCAAATCCAAACCCCCAAAAATAAAAAAAAATAGCAAAATACGCAAAATCGAAAGATAACATAAAAAAATTAAAAAAAAAACCAAAATATGCCAAATCCAAAAATAAATAAATAAATAAATTTAAAAAAAAATCCAAAATTGAAAAAAAAAACCAAAAAAAAAAACAAAATATTTTTTTTCCCAACCAAAAGCCAAAATTGTAAAAAAAAAAAAAAAAAAAAAAAAAAAAAAAAAAAAAAACCGAAAATATGCCAAATCCAAACCCAAATAAAAAAATAAAAAAAATAGAAAAGGGCAATTTCGTCATTTAACAATATGACACCTCACCAAAAAGTCAAAAAAGTCAAAAATCCCTTCCCAAACCAGGCTTTTTAACCCCAGGTTAAAATAGTCAAAAAAGTCAAAAAATTAAAAAGCCAACCCACTTCTCAAACGGAAGCAAAATCACTAAATAGTCAGAAAGTCTAAAGAAGTAGACACTTTCCAAACACTCCCTATATGATTTTGTCGAGTGTACATGACAAACACCAGATTTTTATATTGAATGGTAGATATATCAACACACTAGTCAATCATCCCACAAAAATATGAAATTCATGCTCGGATAAATTGTATGAGGCGGTCAAAATGTATTTTATGATCTACATTTGTTATTTGTTGGAATGATCAATTCAACCACTGACACAAAGCATTTATTGTCTAAACAATAGTTTGTTTTGAATGTTAGGTAATTAGGAAGATGCTTCGCCAACCTAACTGAAAAATTAACCGCTACAATTACCTTTTTAACTTTATGTGTGCTCACGTAACCAGTACGTACCCTGAACAAAACCATGATTCTCTTAGTTGGGTTGCATCAAGGTCTTCCAGATTAAACACTAAAAAAATGCAATCCAAATGGAAATTAGGGTTTTTCTTTTTTGATTTTTTATTTTTTAAGATAGATATGGTAAATGCACAGATTCTCCCAATGAGCATCCAGAAGTCCCAACAGAATTTTAGTTAGTCCGGGTCACCATATGTATCCAACTGCATATTCTTTCGGATAAGATAACTGGTGCACATTCACTTCCCTCAAAGCATTAATATCTATTCACTTGGGCCATGTTTGTTTGGGTAAACTGGATTAGCATTCCAATGACTAATAGTTCTAGGACTACGAATCCGTTGGATTATGTATCATATCTTAACTTACTTCAATTGTTTAACCAAACATCGGATTAATAATTTTATTGGACTATTAGTCCAATCCCAAGCTCATGTCCACCCAAACAAACATGGCCCAAGTGGTTTTGATGAGTGCAACTAGGTAGAACTAATATTGTTCAAATTGATAAATAAAAGATTGGAATTTTAATAGATGTGAAAAGTAGTACAAGTCGGACAATAAAATTACATCAACACAAAGGGCAAGGAAAAAACATCATTGCCTAGGAAACATAAGTTTGAAACTAATATTGTTCAAATTCATATATGAAACACTGAAACCAAAGCAAATTTAATAAAACAAAATGTAGTAATGAACTTCCATGTTTACAATGTCAATTATTCACACATATTGATACACGTATGGTGACCAAAATGAGCCTACGCAGACACTGGCCAATAAATTTACACAGAAACAAGCTCTTGCTATTGACTTGGTGCTATTGCACCTTGTGAATTTTAATTGTGTTTTTGAGCAATAAATTGCTTCAATTAGAAAAATATTGCTTTAACCCTTGAATAAATATGAGTACTTGAAAGAGTCTCTCTCCTGAACCATCACAACTTGGTTTCTTCTTGAACTTGATTGACTTTCCATGGCTGGGAATTCATTCCAAATACGTATTAAGACGATTTAGATCAACAAAATTAAAACCTAAACCCAACTTTTCATCCCACCTATTAGTTTTTATATTCAAATATCCTAAACCATTGTCATCTAAAGAGAACAAGGGTGCGAGGCGGGGTCGATTCAACTTTTCTAGACATTGTGGACTCATTTTGTTTACTCTCCTCCTCAACAATGGCAATTGATTGAGGTGCAGTCAATCTAAGATCAAGGTTTAAATCGGGCAATCCCCACGTCGCATCCTCTAAACAACTTGCAGCATCAGAGACTTGATCATGATCGCCTTTGGTTTTTAATGGTTGACATGCATGGTCTCTAGAAGCAGATGAGGTTGCACTGCCAGTGGCACCGATAATTTGAGGGTGAGTAAGATTCTGACTTAACCTATGCTTGGTTGGATCAATACCCATGTTTATAAGCTTTCTTCTCAAATGAGAGTTCCAATAGTTTTTCACTTCATTATCCGTTCGTCCTGGCAATCTCCCAGCTATTAGTGACCACCTAAAAATATTTGTGCCATTTCAAGAGTCAGTATAAATATAAGATGAAACTATAATTGTCAGGTGTAATGATAAAATTATTAAAAATAAAAAACATATATTTGTTGCTTCATAAATGGTTAAATATCTTTCTAAATACTTTCTTTTGGCAAAACAGTTTTTGAAAGTCGATTCTTATGAGACTTATCAAAATTTACAATCTTTTTTTTTTTTTTTAATTGGCAAAATAAAAGACTATATTGATGAATAAAGAGGTACATGTAGATACAAAAAAGAGGAATATTAGATCAAGCTATTTTAGATGGGAAAACAATTTTTATACCATTGAAATCTTGTTATGGTAATTGTGGTGCAATTGTATTTCCAAATATTTTTTCATATTTATTTGCAAATGTATTTTCAAATACTTTTACATTTATTTTCTTTTCAAGGTAAAGCAAAAGACATTAATTGATAGAAGAGAGAACAGGCAAGTTGAGATGCATGCTAATGTTAATGATGGAACAACAATTTCAATGGAAAATGTGAGGAAAATTAAAGGTTCAAAGCCACTACTTGAGAATAGACTTGAAACAAAAATTGGTAGTTTGAAGAAACAAAGGAGAAAAAGGAAAAACTAGGCTCTCAAAGAGAAAGCGTTTTGGAGAATTTAAACACATTTTGGATGGAAGAATTCACATGAGTTTTGGGTGTGTGAGTTGAGCCTGTATTAGGAGTTTTGTTATTGTTGGTTGGTTTCTTACTAACCAGATGTGCATGATTGTAGTATCGAATTGGGTATAAGCTATTTGGCTTGGGATGCCTATTCATATTTTTTTTCTTTCTTATAATGTTTTGTTTATTCAATAAAACATGACTTCTTTTGTTGAGAAAAAATAAATAAATAAAAAATCTGATAGAAGAGAGAATGATTGATATCGCACCGGTTGCCTAGGAGTGCATGAAGCTTGATAATGAGATCTTCTTCATCTTCAGCAAAGTTGCCTCTTTTGAGGTCTGGCCTTAAATAATTGTTCCATCTAAGTCTACAACTTTTACCGCAACGAAGTAAGCCTGATCATCAAAAAACCAAAATGGAAAATTAAACCAAAAAACAAAGAAACCAATTAGGGTTTTCTTCATATTTCTTGTAAACATCATTGAAAATAAAGCCTTCATTTTATTTCTTCCATTGTGGTGACATGTTGTGGTTATTGAGTGAGTGAGAGTTACAAACCTGCAGCCTGAGGTAGGGTTCTCCAACAACCAGTACCGTTTCTCTGAATGTACTCTATGAGCTTCTGATCTTCTTGTTTGGACCATGCTCCTTTGTTGGTGTCTTGCTTTTCACAGCATGGCTTCCTCATTGTATTTCAATTTACATGCAATTGTAACCCCTTTATCTTTTTCTTTTTTTGCTTTATGAAGTTCAAAGAATGGAAGACTAGTGTTACCAAGAGTGGAGAGAGAGAGAGAGAGAGAGAGATAGAGAGAGAGGGCACATGAACTCAATGGGAGTTGGATATATATGAGCAAAGGAGGTACAGTCTATACTCTATAGTGGGGGTTGGTTTTTTTTTTTTTAATTGAATAAATTTTTTTATTATCATTTTCAACAATACTACAATCCCAGACTATTCAACCAGAAAAATCTCGAAAAAAATCATTGAAGGGTGGAGATTCAATCCCATTAGACAAGATTAAATCTAGATCACATATCAAAATTGATTGTAAAATTTTTGACACTC